GCTATATCTTTTTAAATTTCAATCACACGGAAATAACAGTTACAATAATAATTTGTAAAATGCGCTTTAATAGTTAGATATTACGTATAGCTAGACAATGAAAACACGTAGTGTCACTTTCAGATAGTCGCTCTAATAAAATTATATTTACTAAAATAGATACGTTCACCATTTTCTAGATTCACACCGATATGTATGACAGTGAGGTTCCGTCCTGTTTTTTACAATGCTATATCATCAACTAAAAGGAACTATTCGTTTGGGTTTTATTAGATGTTCTGATGCTTCCCTTTCATTTTTCGCCATAAAAATTAGCTTATCATATTCTCTTAGGTATAATCTATCTCTGTACTGAATTTCTTCAAAATCGAGGTTTAGGAATAAATAAGGTACACAAATAGAAACAATTTTTGTGTTTTATAGACTATACAATCGGAGTTTAATAAATGTAGTTTTAGAAAATCTTTATTCGTCTAATGTAATAGTTAGATACTAATTATCATGTTTTGTTTTTATTTGACCATAAGTATGTGTTTATCCTAATAAGAGAATAATTATTTTAAAAAAAAATATAGTTATAATTTTTTATTCCTTTTTAATCGTAGCAATATTTGTTGTTTAATTTGTGTAAGCTAAATCTTCAAACGTTAAAAATGCATTATTGTGTTCATATAAATAGACGCTTTGGCTTTCACATTTTATTTTATTTCTCAATTGCGATTTTTTAAAATATTTACCGACTTTTTGTGCAATGACATTTTGGATTTTAATGAAATAACCATTGAAACGAACAGATTCCACGTTTTGAAAAAATAATAAATCAAACAAAAACAAAATGATCATATTGAAATCAAACTAAAAGAGACAGGCGATTGGTTTTCATTTTTTCCTCTAACTCATTCTGTCTGTCATTTTCTTTTTCTCTCTCTTCATTCTTTTTTCTCCTCTTTTTTTTTATATATATTGATATATAATTTGAATACGCATTTTATCGAACGTTGTCGGTAAAATAAAACGACTACGTGTCAGCTGCACATACCAGCGCAGCAGCCATGTAATTTTATATTGGGTGCGAGCCAATAACCAAATGGGATTTCGTAAATCTTCCAGAAAACATAAGACAATTTGTGATAGGTAATATGATTTCTGCAAAGACTGCCAATTTGTTATCTGCCAACGTAACTACGGAGTAACAGTCAGACTGAACAGGTGCATTATAATACAATATATAATAATACGGCACGGATTACGGGTAAGTCTCGCGAGTGCCCGCTCCGGGCCTTTGTCAGTCAAATTTGGTCACGCGCTCCGAGGAGAGCAATCGAATTTCGACGGACGAAGCGATCTTCTATTTAGGAGAAATGCTCCAAGACGTTGTTTAACCGATGGACCATTGTTCACTACGAATCTATGTTCGCCGTTGTATTCTTGTGCTTTCGAAAAAAACTATCCGTAATGCGACTATTGCGCAATAGTAAACACACGATCACCCGCATATTATACACACCATCGTACTAGGAACAGCCGTCGCAGTGTACCTATATTAGTGATGTGACATAAATCTGGATTCTCAACAATTCCGAAATACGATTCTTGAAATTTGAAATCTGAATTCAACATAAAAAATAATTATAATTCAAAGTTTCTAAATCCAAAATCCAGGCAAAGCACAGACCAAAATTCGAACTACTTATCCAGAATCTGGATTTTTCGTAGTCACTTACCTACATATTACATTCTATACCACGGTCGGCGTTGACACTATATTTCAGCAAGCTTAGCGAAGATAAGATAATCGACTATTATTACAGTAATTTATGTGTTTTGTGTTTTAATTTGATATTATAAAAAACAAAGTTAAATAATTGCTCCATACGAACGTGCTGAATGAGGCCATTATTTATTTGAAATAGTTTAGAGTCAAAATTGCAAATACATAATATGACATATCGATTATGAAAAAAAATTTGATCACTTCACGTCGGGTATACAAAAAAAAAAAAAATAAATCGTTTGTAAACATTTTAAAATAAATATACGTGGATATAGAAATCGAGAACTTGATTGAAAAAATTGCAAGACTATATTTAAAACTATACTGGTAGTCGGTGTCGTATAGTAATACATTTTACAAGTAATTAAAACAATACATTACAGAGATTGCGGGTGACCACATGGGACACTAAAATCGAAGCCATTCACTTCTCTTCGTAGCGAAAAAAAATGTACAGCTCCCCTAGAATACTAAATGGTCCGTCGTAAGCTTATAAATCAGAAAATGACAAACGTTCTTTACAGTAAAAAAAAAATATCAAACTAAAACTATACGTTGAGAACAAAATCGTAATATGTACGATTTTCGTTATGAAATATTATCATTCAGTGAAATTTAAATGTCTCTAAAGGATATAATTATGTTCCAATTGAGTTTAGAGCATTCGCAAACAAAATGTTATTAGCTTATCAAAAATGTATGAAAAATGTAATGAAAAGTATTTTTTAACAACTATTTTCCGATTCCTCGTAAAACAATACAACGATGGTAACAAAAACTGATATTCTTTGTCAAATGTCGACGAATGAATAAATGTTAAACAAAATAAATGAAGCAAACATTTTTTAAAAGTGTTCTCGACAATTTGTACGAGTAATCAAAAATTCTGTGTGAACATTTTGAGAACAAGATCGCAATTTTTTTCTAACCAAATCAAAACGAGTATTATACGGAAAAAGAAAAATCAACCGTTGATTCAATTCGACAAGAAATTATATTATTTTACTGAGCTTAGCAAATGATCTACCAATCCCTAAAGCATCGATATTTTTAAAAATACCAACGAAATGCAATACCATTTTACGATGATTGTTTACTTGAAAAATTTATTTCAATGTTTACGTTTTCGGTTACCGTTACAATAACAATAAATGATGTTACTACCTTTGTTCTGTTTCGTTGAGTGGTTTATTGTACATGTACTCGTATGTTAATAACGATGTAAAACACGATATTTTATGGTACGATGGAAGAGAGGGGGCGAATGAAGCATCATCGTTGGAACGGTAAGCAGTAAAAGAAGCGTTGACGTGTTCCGGTTTCATAATTATTCGGTCAATAATAATATTATTAATATTCGTTTTCGTCCCTTGTAGTATTTATTCGTATTCGATTAATTCATAAACGAATGATCCGCGTGGCAACACATTGTTCGTATTTATATAGGTTTTCGCGTTCCCAGACGAACGGTTTACGAAATTCGTCAGACGGAAGGGTTTGTTTTGTTCATTCTTCCCACGACACGTTTAGATGTTTACTTAACGATATGCTATAGCCTCTATCGATCCGTATTGAGTTCTCGCGAAACATAACCCTATAGTAGACACAATGGTCCGCTCTCTGTTTCCGAATTCCTTCCATCTGATATTCTGCATCTCGATGATTGATGCGGATCTCACGCGGACGTTCACGACCAGTAAATCACTTTTAATGTTTCTGATATCGATACGGTATCGTTACGCGTGCGCCGCCGCGTGGAATTTACGGAACAAGATTCGCAAACAACGTCGGATCTGGTGACGGACGGGTACGCACGAGCATTCCGACGGAAAGAGACAAAAAGGATACTGTTACGATATCTGTGGTTGCAGAAACATTAAAAAAAAAAAACTATGATGGCGTCACTAGTGATTGATATTTTACACAACTCTAAATTATACAACGTAGACGAATTTGTTGTTTAAAATATTTTTTTCATTCACCATTTGCGGCTTGGCACAATAATGCACCCGAACAATACTCACGCCTTACGTGCGCACACATAATCTCCACAAATTCAATAAAATGCACACACTCGTTTTTCTACGATTTTGAAGTACGATAAATAAACGCGACCGGAGAGGAGTGCACGTTCCACATATCTCTCGGTCAGAAATATTTGTACAACTATATTATGCATAGATATACAGCTTCGCGCGGTAAGTGAACGCATTTTTCGAGTAGTTTTCCGGTAGTATTTGACGACTAAACCTATTACAGTGCGATGGCGGGACCCGAGGCAGGGAATGAACAAATAACGTACACTCGACAGTGTTTTATTATTGGCTCGGTTTGAATATATCACGAATCCATTCGCAAAAAAAAAACTACGGAATCTATTCGAACGGACGGCATAATGATCTCACCAGACCCTTTGATGTCTAATTATTATATGTGTCCACGTAAAAACATAAGTTTCGTCAAGCGTTACTTTTTAAACATAATACCGCAACGTTGAAATATACGCAGGTATTTAGGATTTTACTTATTTTATGATCGAACACGCAGTAGTGTTCATAGTACTTTAACCGTAGGTATGCGCATGGGGGAGGGGAAGGCGAAGGGGGTCCCGGATATGCCCGGGCATCCCTGAAATGTTGTAAATGGGGTCCTAAAATTCAAGTCGAAGAGTTAGGGGACCGTATTTTAACTGATGTTTCTCAGATTAAGTGTAGTTTATCCTAAAATATTTGGTAAAATAAATGATGATTCGTAATAAAAAAATATATAACTAAATTTTCTAAATTTTCGTGCATAAACTTATTATGATAATATAACAGCTACGATTGACAACAAAAGTACAAATCATAAATAATCGAAACTATCTGCAAAAAATATGCGAGATTCAAGGAAAACATATTCATTGGAACTAATACATCAGAATATTAAAAGAAAGAATTAAATTGATGTTTATTTCATTTTTCATACATTACATATTTATTGAATGCACGTTTTTCTAAGATTAGATCCAAAAGTATTGAAGGCACCCCCTAAAATACAGGTCTGTGCACGTCTACACGTACGAGAAATAGTTGTGGCGGTAGCGTGCGAATGAAATTCTTCCAGCGGTAGCGCATTATCTTAAATCTACGCCTTAAAATTACTACAACAAGATTATTGAAAATTCTACTGATCTTTTCCGACCGCAATTTGTTTCCCGCCGGAATAAAATAAATAAAAATCTCACCGTTTCCGTTAGGCACATTCTCGCTATCCGGTGGTCGAAGCCTATGGCTGTAGTGCTGAATTCTGTGTTGATGTATGCTGTTCAGAATGATATTGCTAGAAGTCCGCGATAGGGCTTGTCGTTGTCGAACGGCCTCTTTGTAAATCCTGTAAAAATTAAACGTAAATCAGCTTCCGCGGCTAAAAATTGCAATGTGAAACGTTCCCGTCGTTGATTGGAGCAATATTTTTACTTTGACAGTTTCAAATATTTGTCAAAATATTGTTACATTACTTAGCGTTAACCGGAATGTATGATAAAGACGTTTCATCCGTTCCAAAATTGGAATGGTACTAATTATTATTCAAATAAGCCGTTAGTTGTACAGATAGTCATTGATAACCAAACTAACGTAACCCGGTTTATCGGAACTCTATGCCAAAAGCATGTCGCCTCGGTTACGATTAATGTTTTGTTCCTCTCAAACGATCAACGGTCACCTGGAAAGTGCCATCGACCCGAACACGGAAATGAGACCGGAATGGTGAATCGAAACGTTGCGTTGAGTGACACAAGTAAGTTTTACACTATTAAGTGTACCGATACTTATTCCGAACCGATTTTTGTGTCGACTTGTGTATTTTTAATGGAACAAAACATCGGAGATCAACAAAAAGTGTTCGAAAAAATTAAACTGAACTGTTCCATAGGTATCAGCGATCCTGGCGAAGGAATTTTAAATACGTTGGACGGAGTTGGGGGGGGGGAAAATTGATGTACCGTACGAGCAGTGCAATTATGTGTCTTATCAATGATCAGCTCAAATGTTCATCGGAAGTTCAAACTGTTTACTCTTCAACGGGCGCATTAAACGAATTTTACATTATTGGTACGGTTGCCAAGTCGTCGGCATTTTGGCAGCAGCTAATAAAGTATAATCCAACACGTTGTGGAGATTAAGGTGATAAGTGCGGAAGAATGCTTCTACGGGCATTCAAATCGTTTTTTCGGAAAACAATAGAGATCCAAACATTTCCTAGAGAAAACAAACCGAAGTTTTCTAGAATAAGTTCGCGGTGACAATTAAAACGCGAGTTCGATATGTGAGTAGGCGGTTGGGACATAAACAATGTTGTGTTGGTTTGTCGTGAAGGAAGAAGTTCGTAATTGGATTACTGTTCGAGCAGCAAACACGGTAATGATTAATCAACCGTTTTGCACGAGATACAAATCGCACAGACCCGGGCGAGTGTGTCCACGCGGAAAAAGCTTTTATTACGTATATGTTTTTATTATAATTTGTGTACCAACAGCGTTTGGTTTTTAATCCGAAGTGCGGAATTAAGAATTAGGTCTCCAGTTCACGGTTCAGTTCGTTCAATAGGGCTTATGGTTCTTGGTAATTTTTTAATCGCCAAGTCTTTATAACGCAGGACCGGCTTTATAGTATATTTAGCTCCGGAATCAGCGGCACAAAGTGTATTTTATCAAGAAAACGGACAATACCTGCTCAAACCCTTTATTTCAATACTCTTAAAAACGGCTTTAGATGTACATGGTGTAGTTAATAAAGAGAAATGTTGATGATAATCATACGATTTATATGAGTAACTAACCTGATAGTTAATACTGATACTTGTAAGTATAATTAAAAACTTGCTACTCGAAAAATTAATTACATTTTTAATATTAACATATGCTTGTTAACTGTTATCGATTTATGTTTTATCTCTTATAGGTTTTTTATATTATTAAATATTAAATTTATATCGGTTTTTTATTTTGAAACAGTTGATTTTAAAATTGCATACCTATGGTTTTTTTTTTGTACATTCAAGAAACACCGAACAATCGGAGTGTACACATTAGGGATGAGCATAAAATCCGAAGATCTAAATTATCTGAATGTCCGGTTATTCAAATCCAGATTTGAATCAAAATCATGTTATGTGCAACTAAAATGTAATGTTCTAGGCGGCCAAACATTTTTGTTCCAAATATTAAAGTTTATGTTACTGTAAAAGAAATTATTGATAATACTATAATCTCAATAATTGTTTAATGAAGTTTATAATATCAATAATTAGAGTAGCGATAACAATATATAATGGGAAAACCAGGATGCGTGTGGTACTACACTCGTCACACACACATCTATTCCGCATTTCCTCAGCCCGCCGATGTAATGAAATGTTTGTAGCCTACATGTTTTATTTATTTGATATTTGGACACTGTATTTCAGTATTTCAAGTATTTTTACTTGTTAGTAAAGTTGTTCGTCTTTCCGTTTTTGGTTTTACAGTCTATATAATGCACTTACTATACTTGTGACTCTAGTGTTACATCTCGATATATTACCTCCACATAATACTTTTACAAGGAGTTCATTTACATTCTCGATCTATAGCATACTTTTAGATGGTTATAAAATATTTTAACGCATACTTACTGCATTTTTTACGCATACATACTTTACTGCATCATGTCTATAAAGATGTGTTGTACTGTAATCTTTGAGTACAGACAGATGTAAAGAATATTGAACTGTCGAAATGATTCGGCACATTGACAACTCAAACGGGTTTCAGGATAAATAATTACTGAATATGGTGATGTTATTTATTTTCCTAAAATAAAGTGGTCGAATAAAAAAAGTTTTGAAAAGGTAATTTTACTGAAAAAATGATATCAACAATGTTATCTCAGAAAAAGGTTAATAATGTACTAGAATTATCAAAAACTTTTTTATTTATATATAATAATTTCATTAAACTACTTGATCACGGAAAAAGCAAGTCAAAGACAAACCGAAGCATCGAAAAATTTTGAATGAAATTAAAATCATTACATAAGAATGTTGATGAACATGGTTTTAAGTATTTTTTCTTTGTTGTATGAGATTTGCATTTCAATAATTTGAAGCCTATAAACAAATTTAATATATTTTAATTTTTTTTTTTTTTTTTGTTATTTAAAAAAAAATGTATAGTTAATATTTGAGATAAATTTTTCGCTCAACTTTAAATGTTATACTATAAATCATCCATTAATAACACTTTCGTTTGACATTTTATTTATTTTATTTTTTGCTATATTCAAAGTTGGTCTCGACACCATTAATGTTAATACATATTTTAGCCGTTGCTGTGTGTTACCTGATATGGTCTGGATAGGTGGCTAATAATAGGGTCATAGTGGTTTTGTAACTTATTATAAAAAAGTTTATAGAAATTTACCATTTTTCCCCAGACTGGTTTGAATGAGAAACCGTTATGGACCATAGAATTGACAATAATAGGCAAAGATTTAGTAGTTTTTCAGACTGTAATGTTTTGAAATGCTTACTTCTATATATATAAAGAACATTTTTCAAAAACCATTTATTATTTATATTGACTATGTGAATGCAATTCACAGATGGAAGTGGTTGAATTTCACAATACAATGTTTCCTTAAACTACTATCAAAGAAAAAAATGTTTTTAAAAATATTTTTTTTATGACTTTCTGAAATAGTTTATTAATGTACATCAAATATGTTGAGTTAAATAAAAAAATACTACTTTTTTCAGCACATGAGTATATTTTTAAGCAAAATATTTTGCTAGTTTAATATATAAAAATTAGTATTATTTCCAGCTCAAGTGGACACTTGAATATCGTTTTACGAACAACTACATTCAATATTAAAACATATAGGTAGGGTATAATATAAGTAAATTAATAGAAAATATTCAACTTCAGGAATAGTATATTTTTAAACTTAAATATTAAAGTGGTATTAATTCAAACTTATTACTATATATAACTAACTATAATATAATAATAAATTCAAATTATCCGTTTACGCATAAATTTAGATTTTTTGAATCAATTAATTTTTTTATGCTTAGGTACTGATATAGTGTAAAAATTATATATTATACTTTTTACCAAAGGAATTACAAAACATTTAAATAAAACCAGTGTTAAAGTTATATCATTTTTTTATTTTTAAAAGATAGTATAATAATAATTAATGTAATTTATTTAAATTCCATAAAATATATTTCGAAAAATGACAGTCTCCGGATGTTAAATTATGTGTAGGTTATACTTTTTGTGAATTGTTACATTTGCCCTCTATTTTATGTTCAATTCATGATCTACAATGATATTACACGTAACAATGCCCTAAGGCAGGGGTCACCAATCAGTCGATCGCGATCGACTCGTCGATATTTTTAGGAATACAGGTCGATCATTGTAAAATAATTGAATTAATCAGATAATGGGAATATTAGATTATTATTATGAAAAAAACATTAAATAATTATTCTTTGGAGCTTAGACGTTTATTATTTTTGTTTATCAAACAAATCTCTTCCTAGAGACCTAAATTCTCCTTGATGTCGATCACCAGGACTTAAATGTAGCTCACTTGTTTGAAAAGGTTGGTGACCCCTGCCCTAAGATAACTCGGATAAAGATAATTCCATCAAAACTTCGCTACTTGCTGAATTCCTATAGTTATAGAATGAGTTATGTCATCATGTTCGTTTCAAAATTATATATTTAGTGTGTTCTTATTTTATTTATCAATTCATTTTTTTTTTTTTTTTTTTTGTTTATTGTAGATGTAGGATTATTAGTGTGTAATAAAATCCACGTAATTTCAAGTTGGTAACTTGATAACGGCACATTTGAAAATTCAAACTGTAAAACTAGATTGCAAAAATCATATTGTATTTATCACTTAATAATGTACTTGCATTCTCACAGATTACCGGTGAATAATTAATGGATTAATATTTTTATTATTTACGATTTACAACTTTTAAAGCAGGGTTTAAATTAAACTTAATATATGAACAGTGAACTTAATTATTAAATAATAAATAGTAAGTAATAAATGCATACGTTTTATGTTCCTCATTGACAGATTTGGGTAAAATACTTTTTAAAAGTATTTAAAAAGTATTTGAAATACTTAAAAAGTATTCTGAATACAATATTCCGAATAATATATTCGGAATACTACCCAAGTCTACTCATTGATGGTCGTCTCATAGGAGGTTAAATTTTTGCAACATCGTTTTCCATTATGAAACAAAATAAAGAACTTGCTATTTCTTTGTTTTGTCACAGAACGCACCTCCATTAAAGTATATAATATTTAATTCTAATT